GTGGCAGTGTGTGGAAGTGAGTGAAAGAGTGTTTGTGGGTATGTCTGGGAGCCTGGGTGTATAAATAAAATACACAGATGCTCGGCCAGCAGGACAGGTTAAAGGTGGGTATAGGTATCTTGGGGAGAGGGGCTCTGATTAGCCTTGTTTTCTTTTTCTTTGAGACAGGGTCTCGTATATCCCAGACCCCCTTCAAACTTGCTATGTAGCCAAGGATAACCTTAAACTTCTGATCCTCCTGCCTCCACTTCCCTAGTGCTGAGATTACAGGTGTTTATCACCATGCCTTGTTTATGCAGTGCTGAGGATCGAACCCAGGGTTTCGTGCTTGTTAAGCAAGCATTCTACGAACTGAGGTACACCTCCAGCCCTAGCCTCTCTCAGCTCCCAATTCCAATGCACTTCTGGACCCATTCCCACCTCTTGTCTGTTCCTCTGTCCAAACTCTAAATGCCACCTCCCTGTCCCTGTCCCTGTCTTCTTCACTCTGAAGGACAATGGCTCATTCTGAGAATTTCTACATTATGTGGCTCCGTTAGGGTAGGTGAGAGTCCCCCAGGATGCTTGGTACCCAAAATCACCAGGTCCCTCCACTGTCAATCTTTTGACTGTCACAGAGCACCCTGCCCTCCCCAACTGCACAATTCTTCCACCTGCACCCAAGACAAGCAGGGCACACCTAGATCATCCATCTCCAGGGAGGAAATAGTGACCAGGGAGGGGATGTGAGCCACACAAGGTCACAGGATAGGTAAGGGGTGGAGTTGGGTTGGCGGCTCTGCCAGTTGACAGGGTGACTTCAAGCTCTTAACTGTAGGGGTGGGGTTGCTGGGCTGTGTCATCTAGAGCAGCTGCTTTCAAAGCCAGCCTAGGGCTGGAAGCTGGGACGAGGGCAGAGTACTTGGGGTAGTAGTAGTGGCAGGTGGCAGGTGGCAGTCCTTCCACTCCACAAATATGCCCAGCCAGCTGTGTGCCTATTCTCTAGTGGGTAACTTAGGCTGGAGCTGGAATTGTACAGGGATGGGGATTTTAGACTACCTAAGACTGCAGTTTTACTATTAAGGAGTGTGTATACGGGGGGTATGGTGTCTTAGGGTTTTTTTTTGTTTTTTGTTTTTCCTTGTAGAGTGACTGGGGAAGACTTAATTTTGGGCTTGTGATTCTTTTTTTAAAAAATGTTTTATTTATAATTTTTTATGTATGAGTGTATTGCTTGCATGTAGGTAGGTGCACCTGTGTCAGGTAATGCCCACAAGGTCAGAAGAGGGCAATAGATATCTTGGAACTGGAATTGAACCTGGGTCCTCCCAAAGAGGAGTCAGTGCTCCTAACTGCTGAGCTATCTCTCCAGCCCCTGGGCTTGTGATTCTTAAAGCAGGTGAAGAGGAAGCAAATTCAGTACTAAAGATTCTGGTAGCTGGGTGTGGTGGCACACGCCTTTAGTCTCAGCACTTGGGAGGCAGAGGCAGGCAGATCTCACTGGTAAGACTTCTCATAAAGAAAAAACCAGAATATCTCCAAATAATTTACAGCTAATCACAGTGTAAAACAAAAAAAAAAAAAAAAAAAAAAAAAAAGAACCTGGTTCTCAGCCTTCCAATCTGTAACAAAGTGATATTAATTAATGACTTTGCCTGCCCCCTATGGAACTCAGAGCAAGGCAAAAATGTATCCATAAGCAAGAGTCAGTCTTAGTGTCTCTCTCCTGTCTTGTTATGTAGCATAGGCTGCCTTCCACATCAATCCTCCTGCCTCAGCCTTCTGAATTGCTAGGGTTACAAGTATGTGACACCATACCTAGCTCAGTTTATTTTTATTTAAGGCACTGTTCTAAGCACTTTGGTTTTTTTATTTTTTATTTTTATTTTTTGGTCTTTTTGAGACAGGGTCTCCCTGTAGCCCCAGCTGTCCTGGAACTCACTCTGTAGACCAGGCTGGCGTTGAACTCACAGAGATCTGCCTACCTCTCCCAAGTGCTGGGATTAAAGGCGTGTGCCACCACGCCCGGCTGGTTTTTCAGTTTTTTTTTGTTTTTTTTTGTTTTTTTTTGTTTTTTTTTGTTTTTTTTTGTTTTTTTTTTTTGGGACAGGATCTCCCTGTAGCCCCCGCTGTCCTGGAACTCACTATGTAGACCAGGCTGGTGTTGAACTCACAGAGATCTGCCTGCCTCTCCCAAGTGCTGGGATTAAAGGCATGTGCCACCACACCTAGCATATTTTTTACTTTTTTTGAGATACAATTTCCCTGTAATCCCAGCTAGCCTGGTACTTGCTATGTAGACCAGGCTGGCCTCTGCCTCCCAAGTGCTGGGATTAAAGGTATGCATCACCACACCCAGCTTCAAGCACTTTGTAAATCTATTTGCAACCCCTAAAGACCATTGAGGCATACAGAGGGCATATAACTTGCCAAGGGTCAGAGAGCCAGTTTGTGGTAGATCCATAGATGGGCCCTGGCACTTTACTGCCCCTATAAATAGGGGGCCCACTTCCAGCAGGGCACTGAGAGCTAAGGACTGCCAGCACTGGCTCTGCGGGATGCCATGCCCTGGGTCTACAGGCTTGCCTTTCCTCTTGTAGTTTCTGATCCTTGACTCAAGCCTGGGGTTTGTAGATTCAAGTTCTGAAGCAGGGGTAGAGGACCAGGGTTCTACAATGAGACACATTTGGCTTCTATCCTGGGCAAGTACCTAACTGGACTGGGTCTCAGTTCTTTCATCTGTAAAATGGGGGACAACAACCCTGCCACGTGGCTTGCTTGAAGAATTAAATAAGTAGCACTTAATTTAAGTTAAAAACTCTAAAAAATGAAACAAAACAAAACAACAACCAAACAAGACAGCTGTTGAAGCCAGGCATGCTGGTGCACACCTGTAATCCCAACATGTGGAAGGTAGAGGCAGGAAGATGAAGGGTTCAAGGCTAGCCTGAGCTAAATGAGATCCTGTTTCAAACAAAAACAAAACCAGCTCACTATTAATAAGGCGTGGAATACAAGGGGGTTGGTTTAGTGGGAAGAGACCAGTAAAGATCAAAGTACAAGAAAACACAGAATTTTATATGACAGGGATAGAACAGAACTCTTGAATCAGGCAGGACAGCTTCCTCTGTGTTAGGGACTCAGCCATGGAGTCCTAGAACATACCCCTACCTGCAGCAGGTTGAGGTGGGGAATTCTAGGTGATTGGTAGGTTGGGTTGGGTCAGAAGTTCAGAGAAGAGAACTCATTATTGATCAACTGTCAGGCAAGGTGCTAGGCTCTTTACCTATGTTACACTGTGGAATCCCAACGACAAACCTTGCAAAGTGGTAGTAACTCATCCCACTTTTTAATGGAAACAATGTTCAAATGGGTTAAGTAACTTGTCAAGGTCACACTGCTCAAGAATAGCAGAGCTAGGATTTGAACCCAGGTTTCTGTCACTCTTGTTGTACTTGCAAGGAACTTGTATGATGCCCAAATCAGGGTTCTCAACTACCACTCACTCATCTTTTGCTCCAGAATGTCCTTATCTGCCTACCCACTCACCCACAGACCAAAACTGCACTGGGTGAACTAACAGAAGGCTCCAGCATGTGCCACCTGGGGCATGCCAGGGCCTGGACCCTCTGGTGCCCTGGAGGACAATAGTGCCCCTAGCATCCCCCCCACCCCCACGTGAAGCTCAGCGCGGCGGCCACTCCCCCTCCTCCCTTCTGGGTACCTGTAAGGCAGAAAGGAGTGCGGGGCTTCTCTTCAGGAGGTGTTGGGCAGTTTCCTTCGACCCCTTACTACAGGAGACCCGCACGAGGCCACTAGGTCAGGAAGTGATACTGGGTAGGGAGCTCCAAGTTCCCCTAAGCAGTGGACATCTCGGGCTTGCCCAAGGCCGCCAGACCTCTCTAACCAGGGGACCCAGGCAGGTGGCAGCACAGAGCCCAAGGGCAGCCAGCCCCTCTGACCTCTCCTCTCCACTTCCCAAGCGTCCTTCTGTTTTTTAGGGAACACAACGACAAGCTTTGGGACAGTCCGCGCCAGGCGGTCAAGACAGCCAGGAGGGACAAAGCGCGCCCCCTCCCCCTCAAAAGGGCCTTTGCCCACTCCGGATTCGCGTTTCAATCTTCTCCCCACCGCACCCTCCAACGCAGGCCCGTGCGGCTCATGAATGAACTGCACTGTGTGGGGCGTAAGGAGAGGACACATTCCCGGGGCCAGTCCTCTCCAGCCCGCCGACCAGTCCCCACAAGAGCCGGGGAGGCGGCCGGTCTCGTGCCAGCACCCTGGAGCCCTGCCCTTGCTGGCGCTTGAACCCCTTCCCTGTCCGAGGCTAGCTTCGTCCCCAGGAACAAGAGGAAGAATCAAAAGACACCGAGGGCGTCCGACTTGGCGACCCCAGAATCCAAAACTCGGGGGCGGGGGCGGTGGTTCCCTCCAGCAGCGCTGGCGACTGGGGCGCACGCAGCTGGGACCCGGGAGGGACACCCAGGGGCCGCGCACCTGGACCGGGCAGGTGGGATGAGTGGTACTCGAGGGCTGGGACAGGAGGGGGGGGTCCCACCCCTTAGGATCTCCCGAGGGGGGGCAGAGGACGGCGCACATCTGGAGCCCCGGCAGGGGTGGGAGGACTCACATCTGGCCAGGGATGGTACGGGTTTGGGGACAACGCGCGCCTCCGTTGGGTCCCGCGGGGCCGGGGCACCTCTGGGTCCCGCAGGAGGTGGAAGGGAGGGGACGCGCAGCTGAGTTTTTTTTTCTTCTTCTTCTTCCTATGGGTGGTGGTGGGGATCCTGTGAGCAAAGCGAGGAGTGCTGGGGAGGGGTCCGCGTACTCACCCCCAGGCGCAGACTCGGCTCCGGCTCGGGAGCCCCGGCTCCGGGCGGGGCGGGGCTGGGGGAGGGGGAGGGGGAGTCGCGGGGCGGCTCGAGCTCCGGGCTCCTGCGGCGGCCGCGGCACTGCGTGGGGGAGGGGGAGCGGGAGGAGGGAGGGGGGCAGAGGGGGCGGGGCTACCATCGGGCCCACCTCCCACGCCGGCATACGTAAAGGCTGCGCGCGCACTCGTAGATCTCCGCCAGCACGCAGGCGCAGGCCGCGGGGCGGGGTTTAGACAGCGGGGCCCTCCGCGGGAGATTCCCGGGCCGCGAGTGCGGGTATGATGGGGCGTAGGGGGCACCTCGCTGCTGGTCCTCTTCTCTTCCTTTCTCTGCTGCAGCTGGGGAGGCGTGCTCTCCGGGGGGCGGTGGATGAGGACAGGTCAGAGGGGTCCCCACAGGACGTGAGGCCTCGGATCTGGACCCTCCCGTCTTCCCTTCCCCTTGGTCTGCGGGGTGTCCTCGAGGTTTCTGCCCCCACCCCGCCGCCGCGTCCTGGTGCACTCACCTGCCCAAGTCGGGATGCGTACGTGGAACCTGGGGTGGCGGGGGTGGGGTGTGTGGGCGCTGCGGTCACGCCTTGGCGCGGTGGCTTTAGTGGCCGGGCGCTCTGGAGTCCTCTCCTGGAGTTTATCTGCTCCTCCCACCTCTTTCCTACTGAGCCTAGAGATGAGTTTGCTGGACGCTTCTGTGTTGTGAGAAGGGAGCCCTTGCTTTCATTTCTGTCACGCTGCAGATTGACTCCTCTGGTCCAGGGGATTCCCTGGTTTCTCAATCCACAGAAAGAGCACCTTGCATTAAGACTGGGAAGACAGAGAGGGAACGGCAGATCGACTCTTTGTATACAACCTCAAATACAGGACCAACACCACCTTGTTTAATTTTGGGTTCCTCGAGGGGATAAAGAGGAAGATTTTTTTTTTTTTTACACTGGGCAATAAGTAAACTTTGCCACATTAAGAAGTTAAGGGGCCGAATTTGTCGGGTTCCCAGAGCAGGGATAGAGTCACCTTGGGTTACTTGGGAAATGCTGGCACCCAGGGCTTTGCAGTCATGGCTGCAGAAACACAACGTCAGTGTGTCTGTTGTTTGTGAACTTTGCAGTTGTTCATTTGTGTTGGAGGAACTTAACTGTAAGATTTGGTCTGTCCCAGTGTCTTTCAAACTGTGAGTACCATGAGTGACTAAATCAGTTTGGTAGGATCATGGCCATTTCAAAAAAGAAACAAAATATCTAATGGTGTTGCACTTACAGTAAGTAGTGTGTCTTGGCACGTGCTCCAGGTACACACACGGGAATGTATTAGGTGCTGTACACTGTTTCTGTGGGTCACAGAAAAAGTTTGGAAAAGTGTTGATCTCCTAGATACCTCTTGGCTTCCTCAGCTTGAGTTTGTAGTCAGTTCAGATGGTGAAGACGCAGTTGGTAATACTAGTAATTGCCAGTGATGCACCCTGACAGGAGGTTGGCATCTGGGTGCAATGAGGCTTGCTTGTCATCCTAGCATCTGGGAAGTGTAGGCAGGAGTTAAGACCATCCCTAACTGCTTTGGAAGTTTGAGGCCAATTTGGGATTACTAGAGACCCTGTCTCAAACAAAAACAGACATACAAAAAAGCCAACCCCCTCCTAAACACAGATTTTGTTAGAGGTAAGAAGGTGGGGGTGTAGCTGTGTCTGTAGGCTGCCTAGTGGTATGGGTTCTGGGAAGTTGCATTGGGTAGGATGGAAAGGGGTCTGTTGTAATGTTTTTAGGGTTCTCTCTTTTACCCCTAGAGCTTCTTACATGTGTATTTCCTGTGAAACTTTTACAGAGTGTCTTCGTTTCATAGTTATAAAACTAGTGTGACCCACCATATGGCATAATAAAATTCACTTTGTGGCCAAACAGCATTGGTAATGGGTATCTGGAAGATGGAAACGGAGGGCATGGTAATGTGATTGTGGGACCCTGGAGGATTACTGGAAGGCCTTTCTGAATTATTATTAAATTAAAAGGTAACACAGGGGGCTGGAGAGATGACTCAGTGGTTAAGAGCCTGGCTGCTCTTGCAGATGACTCAAGCTTGGTTCCCAGCAACCTAACAACTGACGCTATATCCAGTTCCAGGAGATCTAACACCCTCCTCTGGTCTCTGTGGGCATTGCATGAATGGGCACGCTTACATACATACACTCATACATATAAATTTTTTAAAATTAGTTAATTGATTTTAAAAAGTAACACAGCTGTGACTCTGAGCATGTGGGTTCCTGAGCAGTTTCCACCTGTGCCTCATGGTCACCGCCTGTGTTAACCATCAGTGTTAACGTTGATAACCAGTGTGCAAGAGAGGCCCGGACTTGGGGCTTTCAGTGTGTTCTGGGTCAGGAAAGATGCTGACCCAGCAGGAGATGCAAGGAGCTTATTATTCACTAGGGAAATAAAGAGGAGGAAAGTCCCCCGTTGAAAACTTTTAAAAGTCAATTATGTCCTTGAAATGAGAGGAAGCACTTTTCTGTGTCTAAGCTAAGATCATGAAGAGGATCTTGGGACACAGTGGAGCTGCTCTGAGATGGAGGAGCGAGGCTGCCTTTCCTGGCCTCATGAAAACAAGCTGTCCCTGTTGGGACAATGCAGAGGGATTCCCCAGTGGAAACGATCCCTTATTTGAGTGAAGCACTTCATTTCCATGTAGCCTTGCTCTTCTCAATGACCCCTGCATAATGCAGTCACTGAGACCTGGAGAAGTGATTTAAAGGTCACAAACTTATTGGAGTCTGGCAGAGAGATGCATTCTACCCAGTAGCATTTCCTCTTTGGTTCTAACCCCATCACCCCCAAAATCCTCTGCACACTGACAGCTCCTTGACCCTGGCTCCTTGCCACTAGCTCAGTTAAGTCCTATAGGAAGGGAATATGAACATGGCTATGTCAACTTTGTCTGGGGAGGTTTGTCCTGAGTTTTACCATGTCAAGACTCTTACTAACTCATTTCTGGGTTATAGGTATTTTCCCATCTGTGATGGAAGAGGGACAAAGCTACAAAAATAGACACTTTAGGTGGGTGTGGTGGGACACACCCATAATCCCAGGACTTGGTCTTGATTTTATCCTCCTGCCTCACCTCCCAAGCACTGGGATTGCGATGCGCCATGGGCCAGCCCCAGCACCTGGACCTTTGAGAGCTTGTGTGGAGAATCTAGCATGGTCCTTCTGTTGGGAGCAGTCATCCTCTTTAACTTAGCTCAAAGCTTAGGGAGGGACACGCATGGAGTGGTGAGGGAAGAAGGGGACACCCCCCTAGTCAGATCAGCCATATCAACCCTGACAACGTATGGGGCAACAGACACCACAGCCAGGTAGCCCTCGAATCCAATCCCAGCATTTAGAAAGTGGAGACAGGAAGACCTACATGAGACCCTGTCTCCAAAAAAAAAAAAAAAAGAACTGTGAATTATCAAATCTAAGAACCAATGCTTGAACAAGGCACACTTTAAACATATTTGATTAAAAACCATGGGTATATTCTTTGTGGACCAAATTGAGATACAAGTTTCTCAGTGGCAGCTGTGGTAGAAATTGTTCCTCAGAGTATTGAGGGATAGTCCTGCTCGTTGGTAGTAAGGCTATGAAAACTCACACCAGAACTGTGAATTATCAAATCTAAGAACCAATGCTTGAACAAGGCACACTTTAAACATATTTGATTAAAAACCATGGGTATATTCTTTGTGGACCAAATTGAGATACAAGTTTCTCAGTGGCAGCTGTGGTAGAAATTGTTCCTCAGAGTATTGAGGGATAGTCCTGCTCGTTGGTAGTAAGGCTATGAAAACTCACACCTGGGTAGGTGAGTCAGCATCATTGTTAGCTCTGTCCTGGGCAATGCTGGGTATAGTCTAGATGATTACTCTGCACTGGTTTTGTTATTTTGTTTTATTTGCTTGATTTTTCTTGTTTTTGGTTTTTTGAGCGTCTCAGGTAGCCCAGTCTGGCCTTGAACTTCTACGTAGCTGAGGATGTCCTTTAATGCCTGATTCTCCTGCCTCAGTTTCCCCAGTGCAGAGATCACTGGTGTGCTTCACCATGACAGACTGAGGCAGCTTTTTATTTCTTGTATTTTTAAAGATTGTGTGACAACCTTGATGAGAAGGGGATGGGGAGAGAAGAACACCTCTGTGTTGAATTTGTTTTATTAGTTGGTAAACAGCTGCTGAGTTGTACCTCTGCCCCTCTGTACTGGTAGGATCAAGCTTGGCCCTGGCCTGGACTTGAGTGCCTTCTAACCCGGGGTGGAGTAGCTGAGTAGTTGTAGCATTTCTGACTTCATTCCTCATCTACAAAATGATGCAAGTCCTTAGCTTGTCCTACTTTTTTCAGACTGTTGCCTTTTCTTATTTGTTTTTCTGTTTCCATTGAGTGCTTAGGAACACCACCAAGGAAAGTCATCTCTGTGAGGATACTTTGAGAATTGCAACATACTCTGTAAAATTAAAGTATACACACAAGAGCTGGAGAGATGACTTAGTGTTAAGAGCACTGGCTGCTCTTGCAGAAGACCCAGGTTCAGTTCCCAGCACCCACATAGAGGGCTAACAACTGTCTGTAACTCCAGTTCCAGGGAATTTGATGCCTCTGTAGGCATTGCATGACACAGGTGCACTTACATACATGCAGGCAAAAGTTGCTCATACACATAAAATATAAAAATAAACCATGAAAGAGAATGGTCCTGGAGGAAAACAGTAATGAATCTTTAAACAACAAACAGAAGTATTGGTTGGTCCAGAATGAAGAAGCTGGTTGGTTGTGTCTCTGTGGGAGGGTGGAAGTCTTTTTTGTGACTCTCCAGAGCTGCCAGCCCTTTGCTTTTCCCTGCTTAACGGTTGGTTGATTGATTGTTTTTGGAGACAGGATTTCATTCTGTAGGGCAAGCTGGTCTGGAATTTTCAGGCTGGCCTTGAATTCATGGCAATCCTCCTGTCTCAGTTTTTGAGTGCTAGAGTTACATCTCTCTCCCACCCCCTGGTGCTGGAGCTCAAACCCTGGATATCATGCATTGTGGGCAAGGGCTCTGCTGCGGAACTGCAATCCCAGTCCAGCATTTGATTTCTTCGTTCTATCCTCTATTCTGTTACATCCTAGCAGAGTCACCTTTAAACACTCATTTATGATTGTGCTTGCCTTTCCCCCCTCTCTTTTCTCTTGAGCCAGTTCCACTGGGAAGGACTTTAAAATGTGTATAACAGGGGCTGGAGAGATAGCTCAGTTAGTAAAGTGCTTACTGTACAAGTAT